CCCCCCCCCCCTCTCCCCCTTTGTTCTGGCTGATTTTGCGTTGATGGGGGGAGGGGCAGGGAGCCTTTCCTACCTTGGATTATGAGGCGAAATCTGATTTTACTCATTAACAGAAGTAGGGGCTAAAAATCATCTAAAACCATTGATTTTTGTGTTGGCATGAAGTGTGTGTTTGAGAGAAGATTTATGTGAAAGAACGGAGATCGGAAAGTAGGCCTGGCGATTCTTTTCAATGTGTGTTGCATCATGACTCTCTCCTAGGTAGGTCGTGTAACGGTCTCTATAAGGCCAGCCGTCCTGCCAGCATTGTAAAGGAAGTGTCGACCCATTGTGGGGTTGCGGAATTGTGGAGGCGACCTAGACGGCGCACGAGAAACGTGAACCCTGCTATTACCCCGAATTATTGCCCAGTCAAGGAAACGCCTAGTCAGTACATGCAACAGGTGTGGTCACCGGAAGGCAGTACACCCATCCACATGGATTAGCGATATCAGCCCTGATTTAAAAACACCGTAGAACAATGCAGCGAGCGTAATTGCAGACCCATGGTCGTTCGGTGAGCCCGCGTCGTTTACCGCTTTTCGAACGGGCCTCAGCACGATGGTGGAATCCACAGTTTGCATCAACGGCGCTCGAAACGCAGTACTGGAAATGCAGCTTTCCTCAGCTTCGAGATAGGTTCAGGTTAGCCCTTTGATTTGACTGTATAGCCCTCGTTTTTTCCTCCCTTCTTCCCTCCATTTTCCCTCAACACTTCCTCAGAAATCTTTAGTTGCAGCAAGTATACTTATAATTGAACGGACCATCTCCGGAAATAATATTTTACACTTGGAACTTTGATGACGCTCATCGATGTCGCATGTCATTTCACCATTGATGCAGCTAGCAACTTCTCCATTCCTCTTTGTTTTGGGCCTCTCTCTTGTCCAGATAATTCCGTATTGGCGTTTAGGCGGGGTTTTTCAGGGCATTGACGGTCTTTGCGTAAATGTAGCTGAGCTTTTTTAAATGATATTTCAACTGTCGCCGTAAATTCATTAATTTTTAGTATTGATCGGTAAGTATTTTATGATCGTATTAGACATCCTAATTTTTTTTTTTTCAGATCTGGTCTTGTATATATTTGTTTGGCGTGTATTTTATGGATTTCATATCTGCAGATTTTCGATCATGCTAGCTTAGCACATTGGGTATGTGCATTTTCACTCCTTTTTTTGGACTGTTAGTTTAATAACAAAACAGCCACTTGGGCAATCTCCATCGAAAAGATGGGTACACATACATCGAACAGATGGTAGGTACTAACTGAACATATGCGGTACAAGAACGAAAAGGAGCAGGGAATGAATAACTGCGCTTACGTTTGGGAGCATTTCAGTAACATCATTAACAACTGGTAATCCGTGCATCCTTGGTATTCTTTTTGCTCCATATATTTGGAATAATTAGATCAGTTAAGTCACAGTACCGTTCTCCAGCTGGAAAAATTCCTTCTGCGGCTTTGCATCTTTTAGTTCATCATGAGTGTTTGAGTTTCATGCACGGGCACTTGAAATTTTCGGCGCGAAAATTAATAATTCGGGAATCACAGAAGCCAGAAAACTGAAATTTTAAGGTAAAATTCCGGGCACCAAGAAAACACATTCACCCCGCACTTGCATCTTAACGTCACACACAGACAGGTGGATGTTTTGGCGCAGAATTTTCCGCTTCGGAAATCGGCAAATTAGAAAACTGAAAATTTACTGTGACGCTTCCTCTGAATGTACAGCTCTGGAATTTCAGTTGCGCTAATTTTGTCTGAAGTACGGATAAACGAAATTTTGCAAAGGAATTTTTGATTCGGGAACTAGAGAGAAAGCAGAAGGCTAAAATTGTTGAAGGATGTTTTTCCGCTCATCTGCGAACCTACAAGTTCCACTCTAGCTCTCGTGAACGTCTAGGCTCCATGCGCGGGCACATGGAATTTCGTATTTTTTTTCACATATCAAACTGTAAAGCAGTGAATGTTCTTAACAACAACCATCCACCGAGTAAAACTGCGCAAAACGCATGGTCGCACCGGCTAGCTTGGTGTGTGTATGTGTGTAACTATTTGTTCATTTATGCAGTATTTTATTACGAAAAACGGACAGTGGTACTCACAAGTTAATGCTTCTCAAAATTTAAAGACTCTTTCTGGCTGGATTTTGAACTGGCAGTCTTTTTTACCGCGCAGTTCTGGATTTCATCACTGTTAAAGTTATGTGTACACTGGTGATTATTACAAGTTATCAATAGCTAATTTGTGTTAAAATTGTGTTTTTTTTTGGATTTCAGCTAGCTGCGGCCACTTTATTCTTAATATCACTGGGCATGTTTCTCTTCACGTTATTTTCCATTCACTATCAGCGATTTTATATGCCAACATCATTTCTCTGTATATTTATTCTCTGTACCATAACACTACTTATCTTCTCCGATACATCTGGCTCATTCATGAGCCCAGTCGGTAATTTGGCTACCAGTTTTCAAGTAAGCTTTTTTTTACCCATAATTTTCTGCCGTGAAATTTACTGATGGAGTCGTAGACATCCAGTTGAAATTTGCATGTTTTCTTAGCTGTTCCAGTACTTTTTTTGATATTAGATGCTAGAAATACTTGTTGACTGCATTTTTTATAAACATTATTCAACGAGCTTGTATTGGTAAATAATTAAGTATATTGGAAATGCTAAAAATTTTTTTTACGTATAATATACTAAAAAATGAAAAATTTGTATACGTTTAACTCTGTGTAACAACTGGATCTCATTAGTACAGCGATTGTGAACATCCTCGATAAATAATTGTAAAAGAAGAAGAATATATATATATGAATAATACAAGCTGGGATTAAGACGTTCCGGTTCATTAAGTTGCATAAGCTGTAGCCAATTGCTGCTAGAACAAAATTTCATAAAACCAATATTAGTGTGAGGCGTTTTTTTTTTTTTTTTTTACTGCAGTTTCCATTTCTGCTCGTATTTAGTTATTTCGTTTCGCTGATCTCATTGATGATAAAAAAGCAAGAGGTTCTTCCCTGGTGTTGAGTTTCGATTTTATTTGCAAAAAAAAAGAAAAGTTTCCTGCTTCTGCGTCAGTAGTTGTTAAAGTACCACTGAGAATGTGAAAAATTATTTGCCATTGTTTTCTTCTCATCGAAGAAATCCGGTGAGAAGAGGTCCTTTTATTTGATCTTTTTGCCCATTTTCATATGCATGCATTTTTCAGCATTTATCATCTTGAATGGGATATGAATTTTTCCACTGCATCATTTTTGGGAGCAGCGTGGGTGGCCAAATTTCTATTCCCATCTTGGCTATTATTATATTTTATACTTGCCGGAAACTTATTTTCCCAAGAAAATGTTTATTATTGGAAATTTTTCTAAATCCCTTGATAGTTTCAAACATCTGGGGGGAGAGAGGGAGGGAGGGGGGATTGAAGGGAGTGGGAGGGAGAGTGATAAGGGAATAATTAAACGAATTATAAAAGAAAATTCTTTCAAAAAATATTTGAAATGTAAGGTCAACGAAAACCAAGTTGTCCTACCGTCTTTCCTATCATAATCCATTTACCAGTTCCACCCTACATTAAAATTTAATGGTTTTGATCGTTCCGTATTTTCCATGGTTCCGGCTGCCCGTCACTTCAGAAATTATGGTTCAGCCTACCAACGACTGCAAAAAATTTTTTATCAATTTAACCCACTCCGGTCGTCCCACTTGGACCGTCCACTTCTGTTTCGGCCTTCGAGTGGCCGTTACTTGTCATTGCAACATGTAGTGAAGGAACGTAATTTGTTTTTTTTTTTTTTACCTTCTAACTGTAAACACAGACAAAGCATTGGGTGATTGTATGAGTGGGAATCATCTGATTATCTTTTTTGGATGGATGACGAAGAGAAAGAACGGGAGTATGGGATAATGTACTGGAAGGAAGTGAAGAAATTCCTTGAAGATATGTCACTTTCTGTGCTACATCACTGGTTTTTTCAGGTAGTCCTTTTAATCTACACGGTAATACCGCTGCCACTTTACTTATGCATATTAATTGGCTTGGCCTATTCGGCACTCTTCGAAATGCTTGCAGCCAGCAGTATGGATTATGCGGATACGCCCGGTGTTAAGCTGATCCTTCATCTTGGCATACATCTGCTTGGTGTTCATTTGTTCATCTTGACCCAGGGTATTGCTTTTTATGCGTTTTTGCCGTGCAGCGCTAGAGCGCTGCAACAGGCAGCAAAAACGCATATT